CCCAGCTCTCATCCTCTCTAGCGGGCCTCCCTCTAGAGCCTGGGAGTCTGAGACTAGACCCGGACTTGTTTTGAGTACAACAAAGCTACTCAGAGATGGAAAAAAAAAACAGGCTACACTCTTTGAGGCAGCCAGTCCCCTGCCCTCATATTCCCCTAGAGCCTTCTAGGCCTTGGGGCCCACAAACATTTAAAGCAAGTCCCCCAGCATGTATGGCAGGCCAGCTACTCACACTGAGGCCCTAGTGCCCTTATCCACACTGGCCAGCAGCCATCTATCCCCAGCCTGAGCCCAATCCTGGGTTTCTGTCACCAGAGGCCCTACAGTGGCCCCAGCCATAGCTCTAGAGGCAGGGCCAGGGTCCTCCACAAACCTGTGTGTGAGCCCCTGCTTACAGGAAGTTTCACTTCTCAGAACTGGGCCCTGCTCGTGGTCCTGGCCTGACTAAAAGAATGTGTCTTCTATTTAGGTCTTTAACTTTTCTGGGCTCTGCCACTGTAGAAATGCGGGGCTGTATGGGAGGATGCTTTTGGTAGGCATATATAACTACCATTTATAGAATCTGATGCTAACTTGATGTGTGGCCTTGGACAAGTCACTTAACCTCTCTGACCTTCATTTCCTTATCTGTAAAAAAGGATAATTATCCCAGCGTGGTACCTAGTAGATGCTTTCATACTGATGAGAACTGCCAGGAAGGATCTTCAGCCCAGCATGGCCTCTCCATGGCTTCTGTACTCCCCCCACCCCACAAGGACCCCTCTGTTCCCTCCCTCCCAGGTGCCTTGCATTGGGCTGCAGGGGCTCCATGGAGCCTGATGGGGTTCTCACAGGATGGACAATGTCGAAGGCTCCCAGAGGAAGCACCCTGGGGTCTGGCCCAGGCCCAGCCAACGCAGCTGTGGTAGAGGCTGGAGCAGGGCAGGAGAAGGCCACGGTCAGAGTGTACCCTGATGGGCCCAGCCTTGTGCTTGCCCCCCTGACTACTCCTTTAGGACTTCAGGTTGTCCCCTCACTCCTAGCCTGCCCAGCCCCATATTCCACAGTGGAGGCACTGAGGGAGAGTGGCCAGGGGCCTATCCAAGGAGACAGTGGTCTAGGATGCAGCCTGGGTCACCCGGCGGTTTCCTTGACTACCCATCCGCTTTCAGGCCACAGCCCTTCCCAGCTCCTGGGTCTTTGTGCAACTTTACCCTCTGATCTGAGACAAGGCAGCTTCTTCCTTTCAGATGACATCTTCTGCACATGTGACCATGCCTACATCTTCTGTGGCACAACTGTTGGCAGTATGAGTGTTTTGTTTTGTTAGTTTTTTGTCTTCTGATCTCAAATATCAGCAAGCTGGAAATGTAAGCCTATAGAGAAGTGGTCTTCGTTGAGATGGGCTGGGGATCTTGGCTTCAACTCCAGCAAGAAATGAACAGTTTGGAAAAGAAGGCATACATTTTACTCACCTGCAGAAAGATCCCATGCCAAAGACAGCCCTCAGGCGACAGCACCCCCAAATCATAAAGGGCACAGCAGTGGTTCCCAAGTGGGTGTAGCTGTAGAAGATGACTTTAAGTGAATAGGTTTGTTGTGGTGGTTGTTTTGCGATACTAGGGATTGAACTCAGGGGTGTTCTTCCACTGAGCTACACCCCCAGCTCCTTTTTAAAATTTTTGCTTTGAGACAGGGTCTCTCTAAGTTTCCCAGGCTGCCCTGGAACTTGCAATCCTCTGCTTCCCAAGTCACTGGGATGACAGGCACACGCCACCATGACTCACTAAGATGAACATTTTTTAAGTTAATAGTCATGAGTTGATGTTTATCAGAAAAGAAATATAATTTAACACATCCAACCATGGTTTCATTGTCATTGTTACTCAAAAGGAAGCTAAGAAAGAAAAAAATGAATTGATTTAAAGAAAATATTAAGTAAACAATGTGCAGATAGATCACAAAAAGTGGTTCACATGCACCATCTAGGAGTTCGGGAAGGAGTGTGGTGACAGGACCTGCCCTAGCCTGGAGCTCCACCTTTAACTGCTGTCTCTTATTTTCCTATTGGTGCCTCCATTTTACAAGCCTGTCTGCTGTTGCTAGGTGCTGTGCCTGGGTGGGGCTTGGATGCACACCATGCTACCCCTGTGGGGGCAGCTCTGGGCTTCCTGCTGTGCCAGATTGGAAGACCAGAGGCCCCTTTCCAAGAGAGAAGATTGCAGCCAGCTGGGCCCGTGGTCTGTGTCCAAAGCAAACAGGAAGAGACCACGGTGGGCCAGGCAGGGCCTTTTTCTTTGTTTGGAGAAGGGATTAGGCTGAATGGACTTGTGGGTGTTTCTACTGCAAAGGTGGGAGGGCTTTGCACCATCTAGGAGTTCGGGAAGGAGTGTGGGGACAGAAGATCCGCAGCAGGCCCAGTCACTTCTCAGAATGAAGTGAGGGGCAGGGGGATGTGTGGCCCCTCAGCGGCCAGCCTGTGGGCACTGTGAAGATGGCCTTCCCTGAGCAAATTCCACTCTGAGCACATAATGAGTCACCCTTGGGGGCCACTATGCCCTCTGTCACTGTGCCCACACCAGAGCACTACCCCAGATGCTTGGCTTCCTGTCACTGCCCCTTGGCCATCAGCCCAGGCTTCATGGGAGTGGCTACAGGTCCCTGCAGTGGGAAGCCCACTTTAGTCCCACACCAAGGCTCTGGGGACGGGTCTCTGGAGGGAAAGGGAAATGTCAAATGTTCGGAGCACCCTCAGTCTGAAATGCGAACCTTCAGGATTCCCCCCAAAGAGCCTACGCACAGACTCCAGCCTCCATAGACCAGATGAGAGTGGCCATCATTCACTGTTCACTCCACATTTTGGGCCTGAGTGAGTTAATCTAGGTGGCCTTTCAACTAATGCACATGTTTATTTAACAAGACTTCGTGTGGCTGTGGGCTGGCAGGAGGTGGGAGATGAATGAGACCCTCAGGAGCAGACAGACGCGCGAGCCCTGGACGCTTGTGCCTGCCCAGAGTTCTGCACATCTACGGAGGCTGGGGAAGGCTCAAGAGGGTGAACCCTTCTCCTGGAGCATGTGTCAGACAGGGATAGGGTGGAGTGAAGGCTCCAAAGAAGTCAGTAAGGAATTTCCCCTGGATTGAGTCATTCGTTCACCCATTCATCCATCTATCCATCCACCAGTCCATCCACCCATCCACCCATCCACCCACCCTTCACATACCCACTTCTCCACATGTGCATTCTCTCAATAAATGTATCCTGAGCACCTACCGCATGCTAGGCATCAGGCCACCCTTGGGGGCCACAGCCAAGGTCCTGCTCAAGTCATCATCATACAGATCAAGTGGAAACCTGTGCTGAGTTTTAGGGCTTTGAAGAAGAGATTTATGATGGTAATGGTTTGTCAGGGAGGTCAGCATGGCTTCTCTGAGGAAAACTTGAAAGATGAGCAGGGATTAACTCAGGCAAAAGGGAAGAAAATTCAATCCAGGCAGCTGGAACAGAATGTGCAAAGGCCCTGTGGTGGTAGGGCTGGGTGAAAGCCAGAGTGGCTGGAATAGTGTTGGAGGGGAGAGTGGTGGGAACCAGGTTGGGAAGTAGTCGGGCTAACTGCTTCTGGACTTGTGGGCCCCTTGAAAAGGTGTGGTCTGGGTTCTACAGAGCAAAAGGAAGACTTTAAGCAGTGGTAGAAAATTATCCAGTGTGTGTGGTGAAGAGTTTTGAAGGCCCTGGAAGATGAAGGGAGTCCATGAGGGTACAGCAGGGTCCACATCAAGGACGTGGTTAGTTGGGGGTGAAGTGGACACGGTGGTGAGTGTCGGGCTGTGTCGAGAGACCCGGCTGGTGGATGAGAAGGACAATCAGTGAACATAGTTTTCCTGTGTGGGCATATTTTATTAAGTACAAGTAATCTCTTCATTTTTAACAACAATAGAAAAAAAGGCAGCACTGAGCTCGGGTGAGAAGGATGGGCATGTCTGCTAGGTTCTACTATGGGGTGTTTAATGATTTTTCCTTAAATCTGTTGTACAAACCTGAGATATAGATACTGTAAAGGTCACGTACGGGAAGAACTTTAGTTTCTAACTTGTTTACTTTATTTTATTTTTAAAAATTTTTTTAGTTGTAGATGGACACGGTACCTTTATTTATTTATTTTTATGTGGTGCTGAGGATCAAATCCAGAGCCTCACACATGCCAGGTGAGCGCTCTACCACTGAGCCCCAGCCCCAGCCCTCCAACTTCCTTACTTAAAAAAAAAAAAGCAGCCAGGTGGTGCATACCTGTCCACCTGTCATCCCAGAGGCTTGGGAGGCTGAGGCAGGAGGATCACAAGTTCAAAGCCAGCCTCAGCAATTTAGCAAGGTGCCAAGCAACTCAGTGAACCCTGCCTCTAAATAAAATACAAAAATTGGGTTCAGTGGCTGAGTACCCCTGAGTTCAATCCCCAGTACCAAAACAAAGAAACAAACAAACAAAACAAAACAAAACAAACAAAAAAACCCAGGAAAACAACTCATTGCACTTTATTCAGGGAGCTAATTGAGGGGAAGGTTTTTGACAGAAAAGAAAAGGGAGGGGAATCGGAAGAAGGCAAGAGAGGCTAGGACCTTGTCGCTAAGGAGCCCCTGGCGTCTTTCCAGGGATCAAACCTAAAGGGTGATTTCTGAGTGTTTGTGACAGGGAGCTGGGAATAGGCTTCATTCTTCTCTGTGCATGTTCCTGATCTTGCTTCTGGGAAGTCCTTCCCTGACTCTGACTTCAATCCTGTTGCTGTGCCCACCATCTCTGTTCACAGGCAGATCAGTGCCACCTGGCGGCTCCCTCTTCCTGCTGGGCCCACAGCCTACCGCCTGTCCTTCAGTCCTCCAGCCCGGCTCCCAACTGCCTGCAGCCTGTAACCAGACACCCTTTGCTTCCGACAGGCACCCCTGAGCCGGGATCCGCACAGGTTCCTGGATCTCCTCTCTGGAGCCCTAGGCAGAGCGTGCCCCTGCCCAGGCCAGTGACCTTCGCCTGTCTGAGCCTTGGTTAATCTTTGCCCAGGCCAGTGGCGGTGGGGCTCCTCCCTCTGCAGGATATAAGTCTGGCCCAAGGCTGCTCCATTCTCTGCCTGGACTGAGCCGCCCTGAGCGCCCTGCTGCCCTCACCATGGCCAAGGGCTTCTACATCTCCAAGTCCCTAGGCATCCTGGGCATCCTTCTGGGCGTGGCAGCTCTGTGTACCATCGTCGCTCTGTCTGTGGTGTACGCTCAGGAGAAGAACCGGAATGCTGAGAGCTTCACCGAAGCCCCCGAAATCCCTGTGGTCTCCACTACTGTCTCGGCCACCACTGTGGACCAGAACCTTCCATGGAACCAGTACCGCCTGCCCAAGTCTCTGATACCTGACTCCTACCAGGTGAAGCTGAGGCCTTACTTCACTCCCAATAAAGACGGCCTGTACATCTTTGAGGGCTCCAGCACCGTCCTCTTCACCTGCAAGGAAGCCACCAACGTCATCATCATCCACAGCAAAAAGCTCAACTACACAAGGAAACAGGAGCACATGGTGGTCTTGCGGGGCGTGGGTGACTCCCAGCCCCCTGCCATCGACAGGACTGAGCTGGTGGAGCATACCGAGTACCTGGTGGTACACCTCAAGGGCTACCTGGAGGTGGGCCACAAGTATGAGATGGACACCGAGTTTCAGGGGGAGCTGGCCGATGACCTGGCAGGCTTCTACCGCAGTGAATACATGGACGGCAACATCAAAAAGTAAGTTCCCTGGGTTGGGCTGCCCCTGGGGGCAGACCTGGGTCCCAAGGCCCACCAGAGGGTTTGCATTCAAGGCCTTAGAAACTTCTGGAGCCCTGGGATGGCCCAACATTTATCTCCAGCTGTGTGGATCAGATACACACCATGTGACAGAGTGGGAGGGCTTGCCTACCCCAATTCAGGGAGCCAGGCATGAGGGATAGAGGGGTCCCTTGGACAGACAGGAAAACCAAGGCTCAGAGGAGAGAAGCTTGCTGCAGTCCCCCAGCTAATACAGGGATTTAGACTGAGTCCTCGAACCTTGATCTCTCAACCTGCTGGCCTGCCAGGGCCCCTGGGCACCTGGGGGAGAGCGAGGGCAGGAGCCAGGCTGGAACAGCTGCCATGCACCCCTTCCCTGGTATGTCCTAGAGCACCCTAAAAACCCCAACATTGCCCCCCAGAATACCCTCTAACACCCTGGTTTGGGCAGAGTGGTGGCCACGACACAGATGCAGGCAGCAGATGCCCGGAAATCTTTCCCATGCTTTGATGAACCTGCCATGAAGGCCCAGTTTAACATCACGCTCATCCACCCCAAGGACTACGTGGCTCTGTCTAACATGCTTCCCAGAGGTGAGCAGATTGGTCCCGGGAGCAGGCAATATGGGGCTGGGGTGCAGGGCAGAGGGTGCACCGTCCCACACTCATATGACCCCTGCATAGGTCCCAGTGTCACATTGGATGGAGAGCCCGACTGGTCTATCACTGAGTTCGAAACAACACCCAAGATGTCCACATACCTGTTGGCCTACATTGTCAGCGAATTCACAAAAGTGGAGACGCAGTCGCCCAATAATGTCCTGGTAAGAAGCTGTGCCCATGTGTTCTGGGCCTATACTGACCCAGGCTGGAGGAATATTTCCGTATCCTCACCCCTCTGCCGGCTTCTGAATGGTTAGTCCACTGTTTGAGTCCCAGCTCTGAGTGATCCCAGGCAAGTGTCTTAAGTTCTTTGAACCTTGGTCTCTGCATCGGAAAAATGGGAACAATATAATTCCTCATCATGAAGAAAGTTCCCGACCACAGGTGCCAGACAGATGATGGCTATGGCTCTCATTATCCCCAAAGGCCCCTCCCTAGGACCTAGGGCCCTCAGAGCACCCTAATTGTCCCTCTGCTGACCAGGCCTCTCAGTTTAACCTAGGCTTGGCGTCTGGAAACCCCCCAGCCCACTGGGTCCTGTTACTCTGCCCCCTGCACCAAGTTCCAAGAGGGCACTTAGCCTCCTACCTTCCACCCTCCCATTCTGCAGATCCGGATCTGGGCTCGACCCAGTGCTATCGATGAAGGCCATGGTGATTATGCCCTGAACGTGACAGGCCCCATCCTAAACTTCTTTGCTGGGCATTATGACACACCCTACCCACTTAAAAAATCTGGTGAGTCAGGGGCCTTGAAGCGGGAGGCAGTGGGCGCAGCTCCACACCGAGGCCACCTCACCAACCATCTCTCCTCTGCAGACCAGATAGGCCTGCCTGACTTCAACGCTGGGGCCATGGAGAACTGGGGGCTGGTGACCTACCGGGAAAACGCCCTGCTGTTTGACCCTGTGTCCTCCTCCAGCACCAACAAGGAGCGGGTGGTCACTGTGGTTGCTCACGAGCTGGCCCACCAGGTAGCCAGCCCCTGCACAGAGAGGGCAGAGAAGGGATCAGGGGCTCTGGGAGCAGATGGCACAGTTCCAACTCTGCCCTGAGAAGCTGAGAGGGGAAGAGGGTAGCACCTGGCGCAGTGGCAGGAGGGGCTCACTGTGCTGCCAGTAGAGTGCCTGGCCTGTGCCTGGCAGCTGCCTGGGGCTTGGTAAAGTGCTACTAGGGAGCGACGCAGATGAACCCCCTTTCTCTCCCCACTCAGTGGTTTGGGAACCTGGTGACTGTGGAATGGTGGAATGATCTGTGGCTGAACGAGGGCTTTGCCTCCTACGTGGAGTACCTGGGTGCCGACTATGCAGAGCCCACCTGGAATCTGGTGAGCCAGCCGCCTTGGGGACTGGAGGGGGAGGTAGAGGGATGCCTGGGTCACCCTGTCCCAGGCCAGTCTCCTGATGGCCGTCGGCCATCTGCAGAAAGACCTCATAGTACTGAATGACGTGTACCGTGTGATGGCTGTGGATGCCCTGGCCTCGTCCCACCCGCTGTCCACCCCTGCCGAGGAGATCAACACACCGTCCCAGATCAGTGAGCTGTTTGATGCCATCTCCTACAGCAAGGTGCTGCCCCAGCCTCCCTCTGGACCCTGAGACATGATGGGGTGTGGGGAGAGAGACAGGGATTCACCCTCGACAGGGCCTTTCCACACCTGGGGTCCTGGGGTTACCTGTCCCACACCCTTGGGTCACAGGGTCCTGGTAGCCTACAGCCTTCTGACTCCCCCCGTCACCCCTACCCCAGGGTGCCTCGGTCCTCAGGATGCTCTCCAGCTTCCTGACAGAGAACCTATTCAAGAAAGGCCTGGCGGTGAGTATGGCACCCCTTGGCCAACCCCTGGAGTGGGTTTCCATCAGCCCCAGTGCCCCAGCCAACCAGAGGGGAGCCTGGGGGCACTGGTCCAGTCCTCACGGTGGCCTGTCTCCACAGTCCTACCTTCATACCTTTGAGTACCAGAACACTGTCTACCAGGACCTGTGGCATCACCTTCAGGAGGTGGGTACCTGCCAGCCCTCCCAAACCTTTCTTTTTGCCCAAAGTCCCTGGGGACAGCACATGCCTGAGAGAATGTGTCCAGATCCCCTGCTTTCCAGCCCAGGCAGGTCACTGGGAGCCTCAGTTACTCACCTATGAAATGGGTGGCTTGATGGCTTCTTGAAGGAGGTGTGTGATGTCACTGGTCATGACCCCTCCCCTGCAGTCTGCCTCAGGCTCCAGCTGTGGAGCTCCAGCGGGGGGAGACTCGAGTTTCCCCATCCTTAATGATTGATGAGGACTTGGGCCCTCAGAGTTCACAAGTCTGAACCTTCCTCCCCCTGGAACTTTGGAGCCAGCCATTCAACTAACGAAGCGTTGCCGTTCTACCTGGGGGGAGACACACACACGTGCCTTAGTGTGGGCCCACACTGTGCCCCGTGGGCCCCTCCCAGTGCATCTTGCATACATCAGCACCCTCAGCACAACTCTGACCCCGTGCTCCTACCCATCTTGCATTCCAAGCCTGAGCAGCCCCTGTCTGTGGGGCAGACTCTGACCACCACACCCTCTGGCCTTCCCAGAAGCCACTGCTTCCTGTCCTGCCGCTCCTTGTGCTGTTGTCCTTCTTCTCCATTGTCCCATCATTTCCTCTCTGTTACCACTGCCCCCACCCCTTCTCTGCAGCTGTCACCCACTGTAGCCTCCTCAACCCCAGGACAAGGCCTGTCCCCACACCGACATCCCCTCCAGAACCCCAGACCCGGGGCTTCCTCCAGCTCTCCCCTCATGGTTGCTGCTGTCCTTCTAGTCCCCATGGTCAATCTCACCACAGTGGGAAGACCCAGGATCTGGTCACAGAGTCACAGCTTGGCTCTCTCCTGGCAAGTCTACGACCTAACAGAAATGGGCCCCAGCGTGGTCCCCCTCCCTCATCCCCTGACTCTGTTGACAAGATGGTGCCACTGTTAGTTGTAGGTCCTCCCTCCACCTCCCTATGCCTTCCTCCCCTCCAGAGCACATCTCCACGCCTGGCCCTGTCCAGCCCCCTCCCTCTGGCTTTCTCCCTGGGTCCCTTTCTGCAGGCTCTGGGCATCTTCTCCCCTCTCAGCCTTCCCCTTTCTGAAAAGCTCTTCTGCCCTGTTCCTAGGAGCTTCTGATTATCAACACAGATTACCACTTTATGTTGTGGTTGTAAGAGCAATGCATGAACAGGGAAAGAGGTTTTTTAGAAAGACCCAAGAAGACAACACCCCAGCGGCCCCTAACCTCCTCCCATTCCCTCTGGTCTATGTGCACGTCCTTCACTCCCACCCCACCGCCGTCCTGTCCTTCACCCCGGCCTGGGAGTTGGTTTTCCTCCATCTCCATCTCCTCTTCCCTCTCAGCCTCTCCATGTTGTTCAGAAGAAGCCGTGGGCACCCTAGGCACCCTTCCCTGACACACACACACATGCTTTAGTGTGGGCCCACAGTGGGGGCTGTGTAGATGTCTGCGCTGATGTGAAAGGAACCAGAGTTAGGAAGGTTCTCCAGCTTGCCCAGCACCGGGCCAGCTATGGAGAGGCAGAACCAAATGGGGACTTTAGCTCCTGCCTCCCACACAGGTGGCACCATGGGGTAGAGGCTGGAATCTGCAGGGGCTACCCTGGGTAGGTGGGGACTGAAGAACGGCAGTCCACTGATGGTCATGCTCTTGCCTTCTGCCCACAGGCAGTGGACAATCAGACAGAAATCATTCTCCCTGACCGCGTGAGCAACATCATGGACCGCTGGATCCTGCAGATGGGCTTTCCAGTCATCACCGTGGACACCAGCAAAGGGGAAATCTCCCAGGAGCACTTCCTCCTTGACCCTGAGTCCAATGTCACCCGCCCCTCCCAGTTCAAGTGAGCCCTAAGGCCCAGGCCCAGTGAAGTGAGGTGGGCGGGGCAGAGGCAGGTTGCTGGGAAGGCCTCCTGACCACCGCAGGACCTGGCCTACTGTGCTCCCAGCCCTGGTGGCTGGACACAGGCTCGCTCTCTAGGGACAAGAGGATGGAAGCACTTTGTGCCAGAGTTGTGCAGAAGCTGGAAGCCTGGCAGGACCACTGTTTGCTAGCAATATCGAGAGCTGTCGCCTCTTGCCCCTAACCTCTGACTCTCTTGCTGCAGCTACCTGTGGATTGTGCCCATCACATCTATCAGAAATGGCATAGAGCAGGATACATACTGGCTACAGAGTGTCCAGAAAGGTAATCCAGCCCTGCCCCAGTGGGAGGAGCCCCACCCCGTACTTCTAGCTCCTGGCTCAAGTTCCAGGGATTGGAGTGCGACTAAAGTGGTTTCCATCGTTATTTCAACAAATGGAGCTGACTTCTTTGGTTATAATGTCTACTTCGCTGCTGTCCAGCTGTGTGACCTTGGTTAAGTTACCATCCCTCACTGGTCTCCATTATCTTGTCTATAAAGTGGAGCTAAGAATAGTACCTATTCCTTTAGGTCATGTGAAGATTAAATGAGAATTCACGGCTGGCAATGTAGCTCAACAGATACTTTGCCCCGTACTGCAAAGAGAGAGAGAGAGAGAGAGAGAGAGAGAGAGAGAGAGGGAGGGAGGGAGAAAATTCACATAAAATGCATAAACAACACCTGGTACATGGAATGAGCAGCACTACTTGGCCAGGCACTAAGGAAGTGAAGGTCAAGGCATGTCATCTTTGGCCTTAGCCAACTATAGGGTAAAGGGAGGGCAGATGCAGTTAAAGACATCCTGGCACTGTGCTCAGGGATTTGCAGAGATAAGGTCAGGAATATGGGGACAGAGAGATTCAGTTTCCTGCGGAGGTTGGGGAAGGCTTCCTGGAAGAGGTGAGCTGTGTTGTAGAGGAAGAAGAGGGTCAGGTAGGCCCAGGGATCAGACCCTGCTAGCTCTGCTCTCTCCCTACAGCCCAGCATGAGCATTTTAGAACGTCATCAGACAATGAATGGGTCCTGCTGAACCTCAATGTGACCGGCTATTACCTGGTGAATTACGACGAAAGCAACTGGAAGAAGATTCAGACTCAATTGCAGACCAATCTGTCGGTGGGTATCTCCCCCGCCCCCACCCCAGGATGGACCGCCAGACCTGCCCCACCCCCTGCAGCTGGCAGTGCACACTGAGGGGGCACACTGTCTCCCTCCAGGCCATCCCTGTCATCAATCGGGCGCAGGTGATCCAAGACTCCTTCAATTTGGCCAGGTGAGTGTCCTCATGGGCTCTGCTGGGCTGAGGCCCCGTGGCTGACTATAGGATGGGAGCCCTGCTCCCTCCACGGCCCTGGACGCATGCCAGGCACTGTGCAGAGGGCTCCCTGCACACCCTCCCTCTGTCCCCACATGCCCATTTCACAGATGAAGGATCTGATACTTAGAGTCGCACCACCTGGCTGCAGGTCACATGGTAGCCCAGGGTGGCCAGACTCAGACCTGTGCAGTGCTCTGCTCATATCCTACTCCAAGACACCCAGCTTTTCCTGGGCACTGACTGTGCCAGACCACTATGCTAGGTGCTAAAGTAAACTTGAGATGGGCGGGACAGTGGGGATACAGCACAGATAAACAAGTACTTATTTAGCGTATACTCTGTTTGCAGCGGGTTGCTAATTCTTTGACCTGAGCCACCTATAGACATGGACATTTGTGGATCAATGTGCACCAATGAGGACCTAGAGGAGGGCAGAACAGAAAGCACTGACTTTGGGTCCTTTTTTTTTTGGACTGGGAATTGAACCCAGGGGTGCTTTACTACTGAACTTTATCCCCAGCCCTTTTTATTTCTAATTTTGAGGACAGGATCTTGCTAGGTCAGTTAAGACCTTCCTAAATTGCTGAGGCTGGCCTGGAAATTGTGATCCTCCTGCCTCAGTCTCCCCCGTTGCTGGGATTACAAGCGTGCACCACCATGCCTGGTGCTTTTTGTCTCACTTCTGTCTCTTATGAGCTGTGTGGCCTTCAGCAAGTCAGTTTATTTCTGTGAGCCTCAGTTTCTTCATCTGTAAAATGGGGATGATAAGGGAATGTGAATGGCACTGGGTCAGTGTGAGGGTCTGGTTTATACTCCCATATCACTCCTCCCCTCATGGCAAGTACTTGAGCTGGCTTAGCTGGGACCCTGGGAGGGGACAGGGAGGGGGCAGGGGTCCAGGGTCCAGGTGCATCTTGAGAGCTTGGGCTATGGTTCTCCAGGTGTGCTGGGCTGGGTAGGGGTGCTTACTTGGTCCCTTCTCTTGGTCCACAGTGCTGGAAGGATCCCTGTCACTCTAGCGCTGGACAACACTCTTTTTCTGATTCAAGAGACAGAGTACATGCCCTGGGAGGCTGCCCTGAGCAGCCTGAACTACTTCAAGCTCATGTTTGACCGCTTCGAGGTCTACGGTCCCATGAAGGTACAGAGTCAAAGGGTGGGGTTCAAGAACCAGTTCAGGGGCTGGGGATATGGCTCAGTTGATAGAGTGCTTGCCTTGCATGCACAAAGCCCTGGGTTCAATCCCCAGCACCATCAAAAAAAAAAAAAAAAAAAAAAAAAAGTTACTAGAAGTATCACCTGGTCAAGTTCTTTCCTGAGAGCAGGCCTGGCCACAAGGTGAATGAGAGTGGGTGGGGCATAGGAAAGCAGACTGTGCTAGCAAAGCTTGCTTTTGGAAAGCACAGAATTAGCCATTGTGCTGGGAGACTGAAGACCCGTGTGGCCTTGGCAGCCCTTTCTCAGCCCCAGTTAACCCCTCTGTAAGGCGAGCAACCCTGCTTGCCCAGCCAGCAGGGCACACTGGTTTTAACAGGCTTTGATATATTTTAATTCAGAACACAGGGGCCTACTTTAGGGTTGATTCTCCCACCTAGGACATGAAAAAAGAAACTGGAGCTTGTTCAGGATGAAACTACAGCATTGCAGCATTGCTTATTAAAAAAAAGAAAAAATGAACAGCTGGACACGTTGGTCCACATCTGTAATCCCAGTTATTTGGGACGCTGTCTCAAAATAAAAATAAAATAAAAAGGGCTGGTAGCTCAGTTGGGCATTGGTTCAGATAAACTAGAATATCCATTTGAAGGAGTATTACATAGTCACGAGATCATACTTGAAGAGTTTTTTCATTAAATATTTTTAAAATAATCTCTTAACATCCTGTTTTGGTAAATGAAGTTTTAACTCTTGCCTGCCTTCCCTGGGATTCTTTTATCCTTCTAACATAGTTGCATTATAATCCTTGATGAAATCAATATTTGGCATTTGGTTTATTAAAATTATGTAAATATTCTCTACCTAGCCACCTAGAGTACTATATTTGTACTTCTTCATTTTTCTGTACACCTTCACAGACCCGTCAGGTCGTTTGTGGGTGTTGTTTTTTCCTGGCCTGGTCAGCCCCCCTGCTCAGAGGACCCCTCTCCAGTGCTGCACCTTCTGCTTTCTGAACCCCATGGATTCTTTCCTGGGTTTTCTCTTTCCTAGGGGAGCACATTTTCCAGAAGTCTTCAGAAAGGGTCATGAGAACAGGTTTTCTGGGGTAGTTTGTCTGAAACATCTTTTTTCCAGCTTAGAGTTCAGCCAGGTTTAGAAATTTCTAGATTGGAAGTTACTCCTCAGAATGTTTAAGGTCTTGCCTTATTGACATCAGGTTCCCCTCATTGCTGCTGAAGAGCCCAGAACCTTTCCCATTTCTAGGTCTTGGAATGTGGCCAGTTTTCCATCGTCTGGAAGCTTCTGTGCTCCCCCCTCTCTGTCCTGGTGCTCCTTGGTTTGGGTCTTTTCTCATTCTCCTTTTTTTCCAACATGGACTCTCGGGTCCTGTGGTGAACATTCCTGCATCACTTCTCTAAACTCTCTTCCCTTGTTTTCCAGTTGTCTCTTTCTGCGTCCCATCAATACCTCTTACTTCTCTTGCATTGGCCTCTAGCTTTCTGATCTCTTCTCTGTTCCGGCTTGTTGACTTGAACCCTCTGGGAGGGTTCCCCTAGATTTTGCACATCCCTTCACCTAGAGAAAGTTTCCATTTCTTCTTTCATGTTCCAGAATTTCTGAGTGCTCTTTCTGGTTCCAGTGTCCTATGTGATGTGATGCCTTCTGTTCATTCTTGGAGGATATTTATTGTCATCTTTTTGAAGTTTTCTTTTTCTTCCCTTATTTCTGCTGAGTTTTCTGTTTGTTTTGGTCTCCTTTCAAGTTGGAGGCTGAACTTCCCTTTGGATTTCAGAGTGAGGCAATAAAAACTGATTGGAAGCCATGCTTGCTTTGGCAGCACAAATATTAAAATTGGAACAATATGAAGAAGATTCATGGGGCCCCTGCACAAGGTTGTGAAATCATTAAGTGTTCCTTTTCTAATTTTGATATTGGTAATTAAACCCAGGGGTGCTTTACCACTGAGCTAAATCCTCATTTTTATTTTGAGATAGGGCTTCTGATGGGGTTGCTGAGGGTTTTGCTAAGTTGCTGAAATTGCCCTTGAACTTGTGATCCTCCTGCCTCAACCTCCCAAATCTCTGGGATTATAGGCATGTGCCACCGTGCCCAGCAAGCAAGCATGCCATGTTTTTAAAAATTGAAAAGAGATTGGAAGCTCCATGGAGAAGTGGGGTTTGTGTTCTGGGCAGGTTCTTATTGCAGGGTGACCTGGTGGAATTGGGAACCCTCAAAAATTAAGGACTGGGGGTTTAACCTAGAGAGGGAGCATGTGCTTAGTGCGCAAGACCCTGGGTTCAATTCCCAGCACCAAAAACAAACAAACAAATATATATATAAAATTAATATCTATCTGGTCTCTCAACACTAGTTTGTGCAGAGAATGGGCTTCTATTGTGTGTAATAGGGATAGAAATGCCCATCCTCTGGGATCTGAGTGGGGAAGGGAACTCAGATACCACCATTTAGTATGGAAACTTCCACCTCTGACCCTCTTTGCCACCCCTCCCACTGTGTCTCGTGACCCCACGTCTGGAGCTCCTCTGGCCCAGTGTCTTTCATAAGGAGAGTGGAGAGGTGTCACCTGCTACAAGGGAAGTGGGGCCTCGAGGTTGACTCACCCCTTCTGCAGGGTTTAGTTCTGTCTCCATGTTGGTCGTCCCTGTGTTATCCCTAACATGCAGCTCCCAGGCCTCCTCAGAACAGTCCCTTCGATTCTGAGCCTTGTCACAGCAAGTTCCCCTACTGCAGCCACCCAACTGCAAACTCTCCCTCTCTGTCATGCCTGGTTCATCTCCCTCTGAGCTTCTCAGCTGCCTCAACTCTGCGGATGTCATGCCCACCACTGGGTCTCCTGTCCTCTTTGAGGGTTGGTTCCTTTTACCTTTGGGTGTGGGTTCAGCTTGGCCCAGACGTCCATCGGCCATGTTGGACCAGAGTCTGCGAAGGATTTTAATGACTTGGTGTAGGGCTGACATTACAAGGTTAGATAAAAAGAGCAGCATGCAGAATGATCGACGCACTAAGTCAAAATGAAAAATAATGTAGAAATAAGAAGGAATAAAGAACCAATTTGGAAATCAAAGTTTGGTGGGTTTCTGGGTGTGTTTTATTTTCTGCAAATGCTTTCCTTTCTTTTCTAAATTCCCCACAATAAGCACGTATCTGAGGGGAAAACCCAGACCTTTATTTTTTTTATTTTATTTTTTTTTTTTTTTTAAGAGAGAGTGAAAGAGGGAGAGAGAGAGACAGAGAATTTTAATATTTATTTTTTAGTTATTGGCGGACACAACATCTTTGTTTTGTATGTGGTGCTGAGGATCGAACCCGGGCCGCACGCATGCCAGGCAAGCGCGCTACCACTTGAGCCACATCCCCAGCCCCCCAGACCTTTATTTTAAGAAACGACATTGCTTAGTCACACCAGGCATAGGAGCGCACACTGTAATCCCAGCATCTGGGAGGTTGAGGCAGGAGGATTGAGAGTTCAAAGCAGGCTCAGCAATTTAGCAAGGACCTAAGCATCTCAGAGAGGCTCTGTCTCTAAATAAATATTAAAAAGTAGTTTAAAGTGTCCCTGGGTTCCATCCCCAGTACCAAAGAAAGAAAGAAAGGTGGTGGGGAGAGGGAAGGAAAGAAGGCAGGGAGGGAGGGAGGGAGGGAGGGAGGGAACTCTGTTGCTTAGACAAAGAGGGTTAGAACTGGTTAAGACTGTGAGAAGACTGTCAGTGGAGTGGTTTAAACCTAGCCATGTGCCCGCCCACTGGGGACTGTCCAGCTATGGGCAAAACCCTGACCCCTCTCCTTACCAGCCTCTCCTCTACCTCCTGCCCACCCGACTGAAGTCCTGGGGGCCCTGACTGGTCAGCGCCACTCTTCAGAGCTCTTTGTGTGTTCTTTTTCTCAGAACTACCTGAAGAAGCAAGTGTACCCCCTCTTCACCTACTACCAAAACCTCACCAACCTCTGGACCCAGCGGCCACCAACCCTGATGGAACAGTGAGTGACTCTCGTGGGTTTGGAAGTCAGGACTGACCTGGGGAGTCGAAAGCCATGCCTGGCGGGGTTCTCCCCTGGACCTCTGAACACCTGGCCCAGGCGAGGCCACCAGGCAAAGAGAGACACCTGCCCAGGAGCTGGGATCCTTGTGGCCTGTGAGCCCATCTGGCTTCATTATACAAAGGCTTGAACTAAACCTTCTGAGGTCACCCCACCAGCTTGGAGTCACCAGCTTCCAGGTGTTGAAACTGGCACTGGAGCCTGTGCCTACCCCTGTGGTTCCCCGGGCAGCTTTGAGAATCAAGGAAGCTCAGGGCCAAGGTGGAAGAAAACAGGGAGAGCCCCAGAAAGTCCAGTGGGCCGGGAGGTATGTCGGGAGTAACTTGCCAGCAGTTGGGCCAGATGTGCTAATCATGTTACCCTGGGACAGATACAATGAGGTTAATGCCATCTCCACTGCCTGCGCCAATGGGATCGAGGAATGTGAGACACTGGTCACCAACCTTTTCAAGGAGTGGATGAAAAACCCCACCATCAACCCGTGAGTGTCTCGCCCGCATCTCCTCGGCCAGCCCTTATCTGTCTCTCAAGTGGGTTGGGAGCCCACAGCCCTGTCCTGAGCGGCCCCTCACTCCCCCCTCCCTGCTGCTGCTCTGCATCTGACACCCCCACCCCACAACAGGATCCACCCCAACCTGCGGTCCACCGTCTACTGCAACGCCATCTCCCAGGGTGGTGAGGAGGAGTGGGAGTTCGCCTGGCAGCAGTTCAGAAACGCCACCCTGGTAAATGAGGCTGACAAACTCCGAGCAGCCCTGGCCTGCACTAACGAGGTGTGGCTCCTGAACAGGTGAGCTGGGAAGGGCGGGGCTGCTCCCCACCTGGAAAACCTTCCAGGTCTCTGCTGTCCTCACAGGGCCCTCACACTGGCCTCACGAGCCTGTGCAGTATTTCCCCCATTTTACAGATGAGGACACTGAGGCTCAGAGAAGCAAAGCAACTGACCCAGAGACCATGAGCTTTAATGAATGACAGAGCCAAGATTCAAACCCGGGTCTGGGCCCATGTCCTGTGCTTTTAATAGCTGTGGCCTTTTAGCCCTTACATGACAACACATCTTCCTCTCTGTCAAGGGCTCTGGCCTGGCTGATCCTGTCCTGGACATCCAGCCAGGCACCCCTTCAAGCCCTTGCATGAGTGCTTCTCACTCCCTCTGTGTGCCTCATCTGTCATAACCTGGACCCCCATCAAGAAGAGCCACCGTCAGTGTCACCCTACCTTGTGCCAGGGCTCAGTACTCTAATACTCCTTCCTTCATTTATTCATTGAAAAAAAAAATATTTGCAAGCTGGTACAGTGGTGCATGCCTGTAATCCCAGTGACTTGGGAGGCTGAGGCAGGAGGATTCCAAGTTTGAGACTGACCTGGGCATCTTAGTAAGACCCAGTCTCAAAGTAAAAAATAAAAAGGGCTGGAGAGGGGGCTCAGTGTTAAAGCGCTCCTGAGTTCAGTCACCAGTACCCCCATCAGGCATACCTTTGGCATAGCCAGTGAGCCTGTGACCCTGCTTAGGTGACTCAAGTTTCCCATCTACAGAGAGAGGTAGGATCAAGGGGTCCATTAGTCTTTGACACCACAAGGGGATGTTGAGAGGACACAGGAGAAGGTGAAAGGTGTGAGAGCAGGGTGCTTTGCAGTTGGGGTTCTCTCTGCATCGTCTGACTGCAGCCCTTGGAGTGGTCACTATCCTGGCACCCTGCCCTTCCAGATACCTCAGCTACACCCTGAACCCTGACTACATCCGGAAGCAGGACGCTGTCTCCACTATCACCAGCATCACCAACAATGTCATAGGGCAAACTCTGGTCTGGGATTTTGTCAGGAGCAACTGGAAGAAGCTCTTTGAGGAGTGAGTCTGTGGTGAGGGTGTCAGGGCAGCAAGTACCAAGGCTGGGGTGCCTGGGTGTTCTGTGTGTGTGGGATGCCCCAGGAAGAGGGGGCACTGGGCAGGAGCCGTCCACCATGAACCCAGCTTGGGGCCTGGGGTGGGAGGCAGGCATGGAAAGACAGTGAGGTATGGGTTGTCCGTTTTCCCACTTGGAAATAAAATGTGACTGCTAGAAGTCTCTAGAAAGAGGAGAGTCAGGGACACTGCAGACAAACCTGTGTTCAAGACCCAACTCCCCAACATCCCTGTGGTACCTCCTTGGGCATATCATTTCATTTCAGCCATGCTCAAAGATTCCCAGGGCAGTCTTGAGGCTTCAGTCTTGGCTGCCAGGCAATGTGCCCTCATCCTGGGCCCCGCTCACTGCACCCTTCTCTCCACCCTGCAGTTATGGTGGTGGCTCCTTCTCCTTCTCCAACCTCATCCAGGCGGTGACCCAGCGATTCTCCACCGAGTATGAGCTGCAGCAGGTAAGAAGCTGTCCCCCAGCCTGGACTCAGCCGAGGCACTTCCCAGCCTAAGGTGGCAGCCACCACTCAGCCTCAATGTCTGTCACAGGGACCATGGGCTGAATGGCCAGACTTTGTGCCTGTCACAGGGAGCCCGGGCTGAGCGGCCAGACTTTGTAAATACTGGCAATTCTGTCAGAAAAAAAAAAAAAGCATATTGGAATTTTAAAAATATATTTATTGGGGGCTGGGGTTGTAGCTCAGAGGTAGAGCACTCGCCTACCATGTGTGAGGCACTGGGTTCGATCCTCAGCACCACATAAAAATAAAATAAAGATATTGTGTCCACCTATAACTAAAAAATAAATATTAAAAAATATATATATATTCAAATGTATGAATTGCCAAGATCATTGTAATGTCATGTGTAGTTAATATATATATATATATAATTTTTTTTAACTGAGTGATTGAGACAAGGTCTCATAATGTAACCCAGACTGGCCTGAAACTCATGGGTTCAAGTGATCTTCCTGCCTCAGCCTCCTGAGTAGCCAGGACTATGTATCCAGCTACCTTTTTTTCCAAAAAGTGAGATATAATTCATGTACCATAAAACTCACCACTTTAAGAACATTTTTAGTATATTTGCAAGATTTATGTAGCCATTGCTACTAACTCCAGAATATTTTTATCATTCCGTCCCCCAAGAAACCCTGTTCTCATTAACACTGGCTCCCCCCACAGCTCCTGATAACCACTAATCTACTTTATGTGTCTATGATGGATTTGTCTTTTCTGGACATTTTGTAAAATGGAATCATATAATGATGACCATTTTCGTGGCTTCTGTCACTTGGATAGTGGGTGGTTTCCACTTTTGGGGTTATCATGAATAGTACTGCTGTAAACATTCATGGGAATTTTTTTGTGCAAACACATGTGTTTTCACTTCTCTTGGGTATACACCTAGCAGTGGGGTTTCTGCTCAGGCAATTGCTCTATGCTTAGCTTTTTTAGAAACTGCCAAAACGTTTTTCAAAGCAACTGTAACATTCCCAGGAGCAATGCATGAGGGTTAAATTTCTCTCCATCCTTAGTATCATTATGCCTTTGAGTTGCATTTCCCTAGTGACTAACAACATGATGTAGAGCACCTTTTTGTGTGGTTATTGACCATTTGTGTATCTTTGCAGCAGTTTCTATTCAAATCCTTTGCCCATTTTTAAATTGGGTTATAGCTGGGCATGGTGGCACACACCTGTAGTCCCAGTGGCTTGGGAGTCTGAGGCAGGAGGATTTCGAGTTCAAAGTCAGCCTCAGCAACTGCAAGGTGCTAAGCAACTCAGTGAGACCCTGTCTCTAAATAAAATACAAAATAGGGCTGGGGATGTGGCTCAGTGGGCAAGTCCCCTGAGTTCAATCCCTGGTACCCCCCCCCATCCGAAAAAAAAAAAAAAAAAAAAAAAAACCTGGGATACTTAGCGCAGGCCTGTGATCCCTGACTCTAGAGGCTGAGGCAGGAGGATCACAAATTCAAGGCCAGTCTCAGCAACTTAGTGAGAACCTGTCTCAAAATAAACTAAAAAGGGATGGGGTTGTAGCTCATTGGTAGAGAGTCCCTGGGTTCAATTGGGGGCCCCCCTGACAAAATTTTTGTGTATGTGTGTGTGTTTGTCTTTTTATTGTTGAGTTATAAGAGCTCTTTATATATCTTGAATACTAAATTCTTTTACCTGACACATGATTTGCAGAGATTTTCTCCCATTCTGAGGATTGTCTTTTCCCTCTCTTGATAGTGTCTTTTGAAACACACGTTTTTAATTTTCAGGAAATTCGATTAATCAAATTTTTTTTGGTTGGTTGTGCTCTAGGTGTCGTATCTGAGAAACAATTGCCTAACCCAAGGACACAAACTTTTATACCTATGGAATTTTAAAAGAGTTTTATTGTGGGCTAGGGATGTGGCTCAAGTGGTAGCACGCTCGTCTAGCATGTGGGTGGCACTGGGTTCGATTCTCAGCACCACATAAAAACAAAATAAAGATATTGTGTCCACCTAGAACTAAAAAAATAAATATTTTTAAAAAGTTTTATTGCTTTTACTCTTATATGCAGCCATTTGATCATTTTGACTTGTTTTTTTTTTTTTTTGCATGGTGAGAGGTGGGGTCCAACTTCATTTATTTGCGTGTATGTGGCTAAGCCCTTGTCTCAGCACCATTTGTTAAAAGACTTCCCCACTGAATACTTTTGGCAAACTTGTTGAAATCATTTGACTATAAATGTAAGGATTTACAGCTAGAGTCTCAATTCCATTTCATTGACCTTCCTTCCTTCCTTCCTGCCTTCCTTCCTTCCTTCCTTCCTTCCTCCCTCCCTCTCTCTCTCTCTCGCTCTCTTTCTCTCTTTCTTCTAGGGATTGAACCCAGGGGTGCATCCCCAGCCCTTTTTTTGGATTTCATTTAGAGACAGGGTCTCAATGAGTTGCTAAGTGCCTGGCTAAATTGCTGAGACTTCCTGTCTCAGCCTTCTGAGCAGCTGGGATTACAGACATACATCACGGGCTGGTTTTGATATGTATTTCTATCCAATGACAGCACCATACTGTCTTGATCATTGTGGGTCTGTAGTCAGACCTACAAAGAAATTGATGTGAGTGAAATTGAAATCGGTGTGAATCCTCCAACTTTGTTCATTTTCAAAATTGTTTTGGTTATTCTGGGATCCTTGCTTGCATTTCCGTCTGAATTTTAAGATTGGCTTGTCAATTTCTGTAAAAAAAAAAAAGCAGTTGGGATTTTAATAGGGATTGTATTGAATTTCTTTATCAATTTGGGGATTATTGACTTTTTAAATTTTTACTTTTTTAATTTTAATTTTTGTCTAACACATGCTAGGCAAGCATCCTACCACTGAACTACTTCCCCAGCCCCTTATAGACATCTTAATAAGATTAAATCTTCCAACCCATGAACATAGATTTTACTTTTTGGTCCTATTTTCCTTTTATTTAGGTGTTCTTTAATTACCTTCAACAGTGTTTTGTAGTTTTAACCAAAGTTTTAAGTCTTGTGCTGCTTCTGTCAAATTTATTCCTAAGTATTTTAGGTTTTGATGCTGTTATAAATGGAATTTTAAAATTTCATTTTCAGACTTCATTGCCAGTGTGTAGGAGTACAGTTGATTTTTATACATTGTTCTTGTATTTTACAACTTTGATAAATTGATTAGTAGCTCACTCTTTTTGGGGGGCCGGGTGCTGGGGATTGAACCTATGGCTTCTATCATGCTAGGTAAGCGCGTTGCCACTGAGCTACATCTCAACCCTTCTAGTTCTTTTATGCATTCCTTAAAGATTCTGTGTATACAAAATCATGTTATATGTTATCTGTGAACAGAGAGAGTTTTACTTGTTCCTTTTCAGATATCTTTTATTCCATTTTCTTACCTAATTGACCTGGCTAGAGTCTCTAGTACTGATACCTCTTTAATGTGTAATAGTATGTCTGTCTGTCTGTTTTTGGAGGGTACTGGGGATTGAATCTAGGGCTTCACCCTACTACTGAGTGACACCCTCACCCCCACCCTTTTTTAAAGCTACATATTTATTGAGGCAACTGGAACACTTATGGTTTAGAAATTTCCACATGTTTGAATTGACTGTTGCTTCCATGTGGCGTTTTTTAATTTGTCCCTTTCTCCCTTCTTGATTGGATTGAGATTATACAGGAGGATCAACTCAATGAAATATTGCAAAGAGAAGGCCTGATCCCTTCCCGAGCCAAGCTTTGCCTGAGGCTGTCATTTTGCAACCTCTGGATAGATTAGAACTTTGCCCCTGGAGAGGTGAAGGACTGGCCCTCCCTATCCAGGGATCAAGGTGTAGTCTCCAGTCCAGGCTACCTCCAGGTGGTAGTGAGAAGCCTGAGGACTGGGAGACCCTCTCCTGTCCTCCAGGCTGTTTTAGAGACCTGGCTTGGAACCTGGTATAGTGGCATTTCCCTGTAATCCCAGCTACTCAGGAGGCTGAGGCCAGAGGATCGCAAGTTCAAGGACAGCCTCAACAACTTAGTGAGACCCTGCCTCAAAAAATAAAAAAATAAAAAGGGTTTGGGATGTAGCTCAGTGGTAGAGCACCCCTAGGTCCAATCCCCAGTCCTCCCCAACCCCTCAAAAAAAGATCCAGTTTGGAACTGACCATCTTTGTTTTCCTGGCAGCTGGAGAGGTTCAAGATGGAGAACATGGACACTGGGTTTGGCTCAGGCACCCGGGCTCTGGAGCAAGCCCTGGAGAAGACGAAAGCCAATATCAAGTGGGTGAAGGAAAACAAGGACACAGTGCTCAAGTGGTTCACAGAAAGAAGCCAATAATTGTTCCTGTCTTCAAGCCACCTGGCCCCTAGTGAGGTGCCCATGACTCTCTGTCCCACCAGTCTGTGGCAGGGCCTCCATTTTCAGAGCCCGAGACACCAGTGTCCTCCCCTCAATGACGAAGTCTCTGGCCTGTGGGGCCTCTAGTTTCTAATGGCCAGGCTGTCCAAGTACCTCCCAGCCCCTGCCCCTTGTGCCAATCCCACCCCAGGCCCGGCATGGCACCTGTCACCCAGGGCCCTGGGGATGATCTCAGGGAAGCCCAGCTCTAGGGCCAGATGAGCAGAAGCCCTTGATGGACAATGGACGGTCTTGAGGGAGCCGCCCTGAACATTCTCTCACCTTCCCCACAAAACTGAGGAATCAATAGGGCACCAGATCTGTATATTTTTTTCTAAGCGAAAATGTAAATAAAGGATTTCTAGATGAGCTTCCAGACATTACCAAGCAGGAGCACGAGTGGGTTAGCTGGGAGGCAGGACGCTGGGATGCACAGGATGCACTGTGGGGCTGGAACCCCAAAGAGCAAAGGAGGGGAGAGATGCCTAGCCTGCCAACCCTCCCTGCACCTGTGCAACGGCGTCTGCCTGCAGGTGCATTTCTTCCCAATTCTGCTGGCAGGATTGCGGTGCTGAGTGCTAGGAAATTCCTCAGAGGTGGAGGTTGGACAACTGTGGACACAGTGGCTCCCACAGGTGGTGTGAGCTGGGGCTGCTGTGATGCCACACACAGAGCAGGTCCTGGCACAGTGGAAGGTAAGCTTTTCTAGAAGCACCCACCCTACATGAAGCGAGGGAGCAGGAAGCCAACTGCACCACTTTCCCTGCACTTCCACAACACCAGGGGCCCTGGGATAGTTGGGGAAAGGGTCAATGCATTGAAAGCAGAAAACCCAGGGTCCCAAGCCTGCAACCACCACTCACTGGCCAAGGGCATGTCCCACCACCTCTCCAGACTCCATGGGGGGTGGGATATCAATTTGTCAACAGGCTGTTTTGTAGAGTGGAACGCAGAAGAGGGTTGGGAGTAGAGGCAGGCAAGCCACCAAGGGAGCTATACCTCACCAGGAGTCAGGACTGCAATCTGCAGGTCACCTCTGGCAGCTGGTGGTCCATGCTGAGAAGGCCTGAGGCTCCACGGTGCACACTGGCCCTGTGGGGCATCTCTTGGCAAAGGAGCCAGGTTGTAGGGAGCTCACTCTGGCCTCGGCTCCACTGGGCCCCGTGAACATCAAGGATGGTGAGAGGGGAAGAAGGAAGTAACAAGACAGCCGCAGGCCTTCCTTGGGGGTCACCTCCACTGACACCCACAAGCTCCCCAGCTGGAATCTTGAATGTCTGGCCTCAGATGGTGGCCCAGACACTCTTTTGGAGCAAGGGATCTAAACTCCTGAGCCTCGGTTTCCTCCTCCACACAATGAAGACAATAAAGGAGCCTGTTGTGGATTTAGGGAGCACTTGGCCTGACACATGACAAGGAGTGTGACATCCTTGGCTGGAGGCCCCAGCAGCTGTCCTCTCACCCTCTCTTCCTGGGAGTGAGAAGCAGGCCGCTGAGACCAGGAAGGCCCTGGCTCTCCACTGCCATTTGCACATCAAAGGGTAGGGCCGGCCAAGGGACAGAGGCCTGCCTGGGTGACGGGGGACTGTCCAGGAGGCTCCCTGGGCTGCTCCAGATTAACTCCTTTGGCCCCTCAGCTCTGGGCCAGCCCTTCCTGTCGCCAGTACCCAGCAGTCATGGCTAGCACTTGACCTTCTAAGGACCAACTGGGGAGAGGGCCAGCCTCGCCATCTTGGGTCCCTAGGGGGCTCTGTGCTCAGGGACATTGCAGGGGAGGGTTTGCCTGTAGAGAGACAAGTAATCCTATTACTCTCTGTGCCTGGCTCTGACTGAGCTGTTCTCGCATGTTTATCTGTCACTAAGTGAAAACTGTCTTTATCTCAGCTTTTTATTTTTATTTATTTATTTATTGATACCAGGGGTTGAACCCAGGGGTGCTTTAACCCTGAGCCACATCCCCAGCCCTTTTTCAGAGACAGAGTCTCACTGAGTTGCTTAGGGCCTTGCTAAGTTACTGAGGCTGGCTTCAAACTCTCCATCCTCCTGCCTCAGCATCCTGAGCTGCTGGGATTACATGCGCGTCACTGAGGCTGGCCAGCTTATTTCATTATTTATTTTTTGTGTTCTGGGTTGGAACCCAGCACCTCGCATGCTAGGCAAGCACTCTACCCCTTGTCCTACACATCCAGCCCTATTTTATTGATAAGGAAACTGAGGCACAGGGAACTTAAATCAAAAGGCAGTAGCACTGGAAGCCAGCACTTGACTCTGATCTTGCAAATCCTCCACTCAGAGCTGCAGCAGGTTCTGTGATAGCCACACTGATATGCTTGTGTCACTGGTCCACTTAACAATGCTTGCAGTCAAAAGGCTCTGTGTAGCTGGAGGAAACCAGTCCCCTGGTATACAGGAAACCAGTCCCCTATATATAGCGAGGACACCCGAAGCCAAAGACCTGCTTGCAGAGCCTTGGTCAAGGTCATAGAGTAGAAACTTACTAGAACTCAGACTGCTGGCTCCTTGTCTGGCACTCTGCCTGCCCTAGGCCAGCAAGAATTAAAGGTGCTGGGCATTGGCAGGCGGCAGCCCAGTGTCTTCTCAGACCTAGTGCCGGACACTGAGATGACATTTCAGCAAAGCCCTGGACCTGAGCCAAGCATTTCACTGCTCCCAGCCTCAGCTGTCCATGTGCAAAACTGGAGTGTCTGCTACACTGCAGGGTGGTTGAAAGACCTGAGCGAGGTACTCAGCCAGTGTCCTATCTCTTATGACTGGGGACTGGGGTTGCCAAGAAGGTGTGGATGGACTAGTCAACCTGTGCAGGACATAGGTGTCAGCCCCTCTCTCTACCCTGCTGGCACTTAGCAGACAGGTGCAGACCAGGGAGACCTGCCTAGGACACAGCCATAGACAAGGGACTGGATGGGGGTCAGGAGCAATGAGAGTTGCCACTTTGAGAGGTGGGACTGAGCCTTTCCTTCCAGTGAGGGAGCACGAGGGTAGAGAATTACCCTAAGCCCTCCTGGGCCCAGTTCTCCTCAATCCAGCAGCATCTTGGATGTCTCCCAGGCAGTTTTAGCTGGTGATGTTTCCTGCTTGGATGGCTTAGGGTCCTCTTTTCTGCCTTTGAGTGCCTTAGAAGAACAAGGCTGTCAAATTCCAGAAGATGCTTATATGGGGCTACAGCTGGTGGGGCTGGTCCTCTTGGACTCCACTAGGGCTTGCACACAGCCTGGGAGCGGGGAATCATGGCCATGGAGGGCCTCCCCTGCCTCTGCAAGACAACCCCAGGTTGGTGAGAACCCCTGTCTGGTTCTGCCTCTGGTGCAGAGTTGTGCGAGACTGTGGAGCCACGATCCTGAGTCTTTGGGGAAAGGAGAGAGCACTGGGCTAGGAGTTAGGGGTCTGAGGTCCACACCTAATTGGGGGATTATGGGAAGTTGCTCCTCTCCCTGGTCCTCAGTTTCCTCTGCAATGAAATTAAGAGGTGTAGAATACCTATTGCTTTCCAACCTGGCTCGTCCTCAGAATCCTCTGGAAAGGATCTTGGGAAACTGATGCATTGAATCACGCTCTCAGAGACGGACCCTGGACCCAGATGGCTCAATATGCAGCCAGGTTTGGGGTCCACTTGTCATCTCTTAGGTCACAGGACTCTGCTTAGTTACTCATTTTACTGAGTACTTACTATTTGCCAAGCCTAAGAACTCTTGAGAGGTAGGTAAGGTCTCTTAGCTCCATTGCACAGTTGGAAAAAACAAGTCTCAGGGAGGTTTTAAAGCTTACTGATGGTTACACTTCCAGTAAAAGCCTAATGGAATGTACTCTTAGGTCCACAGGGCCTGTCTCCATCTTTCTGCTCTAACCTTGATTAGGGTTCTCTCATCCTTTGAGGATGACTAACAGTCCCTGAGGACAAGAGGGACCTGGGCCAGAAACCAGATTCCTTCAAAGTTTTGAGGAATAAGATACCTCAGTTCTTCCTTTAGGAGATGAGAAAATGGGCTCAGAGAGGAAGTGACATGCCCAATGTCCCAGGGCATCTCAGCAAGCAATGGGCTGTCATGAGAGCCAAATGCAAGGCCCTGAATGTGGCCAAGAACTCAGGTTAAGGAAATCAGGCAACTTCCTCCCTCCCTTTCTCTCAGCCTGAACTGTTACAGTGGCCTCCCTGCCTGCTCCTTTGGTGTGAAGCAGGCAACAGGCCAAGTGTACCCTCGGCCAGATCACCCCTACTCCAAACCATCAGTGCCTCCTGCCACCCAGGAGAGAGGCCAAATTCCTATAACACCCCCACAGAGCTCTGCACACCTTGGGTTCCTTCTCCAATTTGTTACTTTCCCCATCAACTGGAGATACCAGCAGCCTCTGTCTTCACTTGGCTCATGCTGTTCCTTCCCAAGTCTCTCTTCCTTTGCTTGGCAAACTCCTACACATCCTCCAACACCCAGTCCCAAGGTTACGTCTTCTTCAATACTCCCTGCCTTAGTCAGAGTAGATATAGAAGTAAGATACCATTTCTGTTGGCTCCCAAGTCCATGGCAACCTTCACGGATCATGACATCCTTTCTTCAAGATTCTCACAGTGCCTCTTCTTAGGTAAGACAGCCCAAATCAAGATAGTGAGACTAATGGATCAGGTAACTCAAGAATGAAAAGGTACTGCCAGGCTGAGGTTGTGGCTCAGCAGTAGAGTGCTCACCTAGCACATATGAGGCACTGGGTTCCATCCTCAGCACCACATAAAAATAAACAAAATAAAGGTATTGTGTCCAACTTCAACTAAAAAATAAATATTAAAAAAATAAGAAAAGGTACTGCCAATTGCCTTCCACCAGCCTGTCATCTCTCTCTGGTCCTAAAGCCTTTTGTATAAACTCTCATCCTTGCATTTAGGACCTGAATTCTGATCACTTATGTCCTTGCAATTTATCTCATTAACTGGGGAGTAATTTCTGACACTTATTATTATGAGCTAAACAGTAAAATTCATGCTTAAGCCTTGCTATTGTTCAGATTTTAAATGTCTCCCAAAGGTTGAATATTAGAGGCTTAGTCCCAGGTGGTACTCTTGCGAGGTGGTAAAACCTTTGGCAGGTGGGGCCTTGTGGGAGGTCCTTAGGTCTTTGTGGGTGTGTTCCCAAAGGGGATTGTGGGATACCATCCCTTCTTCTTTTTGCTTCTTGGCTCCTGATGTAAACAGTTTGCTCTGCACATTCCTGGCACAATGTGCTCTGCTCACCAGAGGTCCAAAGGAATGGACTGGAAACTCCAGAACCATAAACAAAAATAAATCTTTTCTCTTTATAGTGACAGAAAGTTAACACAAGCCTTAGCCCCTAGCACCCCAGAATGTGACTGAATATTGAGATAAATCCTTTAAAGAGGTAATTAAGATTAAACAGGGCCTGGTACACTGGTACATAACAGTAATCCCAGCAATTTAGGAGGCTGAGGCAGAATTGCAAATTCCAGGCCAGCCTCAGCAATTTAGCAAGACACTGTCCCGGAACAAAAAATAAATAGGACTTGGATGAGTCCCTAGTTTCAATCCCCAGTACTGGGGGAAAAAAAAAAGATTAAATGGTGTGTGTGGGGGTGTCCTTAGGGTAGGCCTGATTCCAATATGACTGATATCCTTAAAAAAAGAGATTTAGGACACAGATAACACAGTGAGAAGGCCATCTGCAAGCCATGAAGTAATTCAAACCTGCCTATACTTCTTGGTCTTCTAGACTCCAGAACTGAAAAATGCATTTCTGTGGTATTTTGCTATGGCCGCCCTAGACACTAGTACACTGGGCCACGCACATAGGAGCCACTCACAGCATCCTTTGGAAAAAACTTTATATCACTGTGAAAGAGCCCTAAATCACAGGTCTCTGTATCTCAGGCGTCCTCCCCTGGAGGCCCTGTTTGTTTATAACTGCATATGCTTACCCCATGGGTCAGCAGGACTGCAACCAGAAGAATGCAAATGAGCTGCGGTGATGTGTCTGAGGTAAGTGAGCAGGCCCTAGTCTTAGCTTACCTATGGTCACCTTGCACAGCAGGCCAGGCAGTACTCTCAGCCCTGGAACCAGGACACAATAAATACCATCAAGATAATAAGCAAGGGCCCACATCTATCTTGGCAGGCCTGCACTCAAGGAGTGGAAGGGCAATAGGCCTTGTTCCCCAAGAATGGGAATATCCCCCCTACCCCAGAGGCAAGAAAAACCTATCTTGATAGAAAAACAGACTGTATCAAAATTTTATTGGTATTTTTTTCTTTTTTTAAAAGTTACAAAACATCTTAAGCATATCGGATTCTGGACAGCTGTCACCAAGAAGCACAGCAAGCAAGAGCCTGGCCTCCATGCCCACTCCCTTACCAGTCCCATCATGGTCTCCTTGGGGTCAAGCAGCCCCCTTTTCATAGCAGCTCAGACTGTGCTCTGCAGAATACAAGGCATGGTGTATGGGAGGGGGGTGCCTAGCAGTAGAGGGCACTGTCATAACCCCGCTCCAGCTAGGGAGGATACCCACAATCTCTGTTCCAGACAGTTTTCATGATAAGTATTTGGCTAGAAAGCTTTAAAACCACCAAAGAAACAGAAGAGGAGGACGTCCACATTGCAAGCCTGGATTCTTGGATGTAAAAAGGCCAGGTAGGGCCATTAGAAGATGCCCAGGTGGGTCTCCTCCAAATCTTCTTGCCAAAGTTCAGGGCAGCTACTGAGCCGTAGGCCTGAACTCTGGGTGAGGCTCACTTCACTGAGTTGGAAAACAGGGCCAGGTCCCTGGTCCTCTGAGCTGGGCAGCGCCTCTGCACTGTGGCTCCAACACCCCCACTGTGTCTGAGGCTGGAGTCTCTGGCATGAAGGGCGGGGCAGAAGGGGTGGACTTCCCAGAGGTAGACAGGATTCTGAAGACCCAGAGATACCCTGTAAGAAAGACAAGAACAGCTTGTTGCCCAGAAATCTAAAACCTGGATGCTCCCCAGGGCATGGCTGATGATGTCTTTACAGTCCTGGTGTCATGGATGCAGTGGAGCAAAGTGGTTAAAAGCACTGGTTCTGCAGACTCACTGCTGACCTTTAAATCCCAGCTCTGCTACACTGTGGGAATTCAGGTAACTTCTTTTTGTCTGTGTTCTCATCTTTAAAATTTATTTTTTTTCATAGGATTTTGTTTCATAGGATTGTTTGAAGGGCAGAATGAATGAATACATGGAAAGTGCCCAGAATAGTGTGGAGCAGACAATAAGAATTTAATAAATTTGGTTACTGATATGATCGTTTATGAACCACGATTCATTCATTGGCCTCATAAATGAATGAAACTTGAAAAAAATATGACTGTCTCCAACTGCAAGCCCATCTATTCAGGATGTAGTGAATGGCCAGACGCAGCATCTAGATCTTGGTCAGGCTCTGCAGGAGGCGGCACAGTTTGTGCAAGGCGCCGGCGAGGGTCCGCCGCTGACCACCATTTACCTTGGGTTCCCTTCCCCTCCTGAACCCTTAATGAAGAAGCACTTGGCCTTTCCTGAGAGTGCAATCTCCCAACTTCCACCCCCACCTCTGAGCAAGCTCGAAGGGAGCCTCTCTTGTCCACCGCTGTGAAGATTGCTGGGTGGCAGTGGTTGTGTCATTCACTTCCCAGGGCCTCATCTCTTTCCCTATAGATGTTAGGGTTCTTTCCATCCTTCCCGCCGTTAGATAAACTAGGATCTGAAAAGATGAGATCCTCCGCAGACTAGAAACTACCCACCCACTCCATTCCCAAATTAAACCTGGGGATCAAACCAAGGAAAGGGCAAGGGCCTCCATGGCGTACCTGGTATACTGCTGCCAGCTCCGCTGGTGGCGTCCAGGGTGCAGCGGGGTTTTGAGGCTCTAGGGATGTCTGCTTCCCGGGACAGGTTTGGGGTGGCGTCCAAAGAACCGGGTCAGGAACTCTCCCTAGGGGCTGGAGCGGGGGCGACTGTATCTTGGGGCAGTAAGGGGGTGTTACCCAGGAATCCGTGTTGGAAACCCTGCTCCCCGGGCTCTCAGCCAGGGCTCCGGTGGCAGGATAGGAGGGCGGGGACCCCCAGCACGGCCCGGTACAGAAAGCAGTGCCCAAACCCGGGCCAGGATCCCGGGTCTGCACCTGCACGGGACCGCCGTCGGGGCAGAGCGCGCAGTCCTGGGGAGACACTGCGTCCGCGCGCCACCGGCGCCGACACTGCAAGTTGTCCTCGTTAAGGCCCAGCATAGCCGACAGGTGGCCGATGTAGCGAATGGCCAGACGCAGCGTCTCGATCTTGGTCAGGCTCTGGCCGGCCGGCGCGAGGGACGGCGGCAAGAAGCGGCGCAGCTCGTGCAAGGCGCGGGCGAGGGTGCGCATGCGCAGCTTCTCGCGCTCGCTGGCGCTCCGCCTCTGTCCACCCGCTGGACCCGTCCGTGCACGTCTGGGCACTGTCGGGGTGGCCTCAGCTTCTCGGGCGCTGCGGGCTTGAGAGAGGCCGAGGGCGCTGTCACAGGGGCACGAGCTCGAGGAATCCGAGGAAGAGGCTGGGGACGTGGAGTCAGAGTGGCCCTCCCAGCCCCAACCCTGGGAGAAGATCCAATGGTCTAAGCCAAGGAAGTTCTGCTGAGGAGGCGACTGGGCCATGCCGGGGCTGTGGGCTCTGGGAGGCTGGACCTGCCACCTTCGGGCCTCAGCTTTTATCTGAACCAAAGGTGCGAGGTGGACCCCCACCAGGTTACAGAGAGGTGTCAAAACCCACAGAGCCCAGGGAAGGTCTGGGCAGGGGGGCCCTGGGAAAGCGGACCCATTTGCGGAGGTGTGGATTCTGACTCCTCAGGGGCTCTAATGGAGGCCCCCGCAGCCCGGGAAGTGTGGGAGGGACAATTCGCATCTGGATGGAGCTGCTAAGCTTCTCACCCCACACCCCCGCCCCAACCACTGCACAGGGCTGAGTGCCCAGGAGTCCCTATTAGAGAGTAAAGCCATGATCTGCGGACTGAAGGCTGCCCCTCAAGTGCCTCATGGACTCCTTGAGGATTGGCCGCCTCTCCTTATTGAGGTTGTGCCCAATAACTTCTACCCAGTGTCTCCTGTGTGCTGGACAAGAAACGAGGACAAGCCCAAAGAATCTGCCCACAGTGATGGGGATAGGGGTGTACATAGGTGAACCTTTCTTGGACCCTAGAACCTGCACTTGCTGATTTGCTGGGTGACACTGAGAAGGTCGTTTTACTGCCCAGGGTCTGTCTTTACTGACCAGAAATGGAACCAAGCAGCCTGGAGACGGTTGGGGTACAGTTAAGCAATGAAGATCGACTACCAAACCCACCTTTTTTATTGTTTTGAATGATCTTAGGCAAGTCACTACTCCGTGGAGCCTCAGTTTTCCTCCCCATCATTCCAGTAATAATACAAGGTACCTCCCACCTGGGATGGTTGCTGGTAGCAGTGCAATCATACCTGTAAAGAACTTAGAAAGGGCCTGGCAAGTGGGCTAAATGTTTGCTACTACTATTACTCTATAAAGAAGGTACTAATATTTCAAATCACTATGTGCATTATTCATTTAATTCATATTTATTTAGCAACTGGTAAATGTCAGGCACACCAGGGTGAACCACCCCATTGCCATCTCTGGTCTCATGAGGTTCAGTCTAATGGGAAAGACATGTGGACACATTATTATATAACTAGTAGCTCTACCCCTAACTAGCTGGGGGCCTTTGGGCATGGTTCTTAACCTGTCTGATCTTGACCTTCTGTTCCACAAAACAGAAGCAATAATTATAGTATCTACTTACAGACTGTTGTAAGGAATAATTTTGAGATAATAAGATTGCAAAGTAAGTGTTCTCAGCAGCAATTACAGTTAGGAGGTATCCATGTCCCTTGTGATTTCCAGAGAAAAGGCTGAGCCTGGAGGAAGAGCCAAATGAAGGCCAGGACAGTTGGGTTCTGGCCACAAAGGTGGGCAGGTCACATTTGGGCCTTGAACTGTGAGTAGGATTTGAGTAGGGAAGAGAGGAGTGTGGAGAACATTCTGGAAGGGGATTGCAAAAGCAAAGGCTTGGCAGCAGGACCCCTCCGAGGTGCTTCGGGAGTAGGATGCTGCTAGAGGACTACTGGCGCCAGGCTGAAGGAGTTGGATTTTATTCTCAAGGTCATGGGGAGCCACAGAGACTTTGAGCAGAAGGGTGACATAGTTAAAAAACCAACAATCAATAATTAAAGGTCAACACGATGACAGTGTTCAAGAATATATTAGCTTGCATCAGCCTGGAGTACTGTAAATGGTTCTGTAATTTTTTTTATGACTGTTTTTAAAAATTAACTTTGAATTACACAAATTATGTAACCAGTAGGTTTCACTGTGAGAAATGGAAACATGACAGATAAAATTGGAGTCCCTTTAAACACCACTGTAACTCTCCCCAAAGGTAATAGCAGTTGTTAGGTTATATATTTCCTTCTAGCCCTGTCAGTAAATTTACATACATGTGTGTTCTTAGAAAGCCCACAGTACTTACCATGGTGTGGGTCCATCTCCCTGGAATGCTTCCCAATGCAGCAAGAGTCACAGTGGGAACTTTGGGGGGGATTGGATCAATGGGGTGTTAGGGGAGTGGTTTTGTTATGAAAGGAGCTCTCTCTAACATGCTGCTCACTCCATCTCACCTTGAGATGTCCTTGGCCATGTTATGATGTTGCTTATGCCTTGCTCTTGGACTTTTAGCCTCCAGAACTGTAAATAAGTAAAGTCCTTTATAAATTACCCAGTCATCTGGGTGTGGTGGTGCACATGTGTAATCCCAGCAATTTGGGAAGCTGAGGCAAGAGAATCACAGGTTAAAGTTCAGCCTGGGCAACATAGCACATTTAAGACTATCTCAAAATAAAATAAAAAAGATACTGGGAACGTAGCTGTGGTAGAGGGCCCCTGGGCTCAAGCCCCAGTACAAAAAAAAATTTACTCAGTCCATGGTATTCAGGTATGGTAACAGAATAATGGATTACGTACTCATGAGATTACATTCTGCACATTGTACATTGTATATATCAACTTGAAACTTGCCTGTCTGTTTTTTTTTGAGGGGTTTTGTTTGTTTGTTTCATTAGACAGCATTTCTTTGATCATTCCATGTCAGGACATATTTAGCTGACTCTTTCTTTAAAAACAATGAATCAAATTTGTATTGCTTATGAATGCAGATTTAAACTATTGATTATGTACAAAACAAATCCCTGGCCATAATTGATTTAAATGTTCATCCATTTAAAAAATGTCAACTTGGGAGAAATGGTAAAAGGGCAGGACATACAGGTAAACCTTCAGTGATGAAATTATATCACTTTCTACTTTACAGAACTTAAAGTATATTGGGGGAAAATATGCCTAAATTTCTGCTCTGTTTTAATGAAGTAATAGTTGATGCTAAATAACACTGGTGGTTGGGATGTAACTAAGTGCTAGAGAATGCACTTAGCATGCTCAAAGCTCTGGGTTCAATTTCCAGTGCAAAAAGGGGAAAAAAATGGACCAGGCATGTCATTTGTTTTTTATCCTAGCTGATATGAATGAAAAGGAGAACTTTATGTCCATAACTTGAAAAAAAGATGGACTCAATTTCAAACAGGGTTGGATTTATTTTGTTTGCTTGTTGCAGGGAGCAGGGTAGGGGAGAAGCAGCTAGTTAGGCAGCATTTTATGACTGTGGCTTGAGTGGATGTGGCTTGAGTGCCCCCCCAAGGGTTCTTTAGTGGGAAGTTTGGTCCTCCATGTGGCAATGTTAAAAGGTCATGGAACCTTTAAGAGGTGGGGTCTAATGGGAGGTGGCTAGGTTATTGGGGGGCATTTCTTTAGAAGGGATTAATGCAGCTCTCATAGAGCCCTGGTTAGTTCCTACCAGGATGAGTTGTTATAAATAGAGCAAGATTGGCTGCTCCTCAAGCCTCTCGCTTGTGATCTCTTCCATGTGATCTCTTCCACACATGCTCCAGCCATTGTGATATCATGGCCATGAAACCCTTACCAGAGCCAAGAAGAAGCTGGTGCCATGCTCTTGGACCATTAACACTGTGAGCCAAACATAAAAATGGAAAACAGACTAATACAATGATGTAAAAATGATTTAAACCAAGATTTAAAAATTGCCAGTGATTTGGGAGGCTGATGCAGGAGGATTGCAAGTTCAAGGCCAGCCTGAGCAACATAATGAGATCCTGTCTCAAAGTTTAAAAAAGGTGGGGGGCTAGTGGTATAGCTCAGTGGTAGAGTGATTGCCTACCATGTTCAAGACCCTGGAATTCATTCACTATTAACACACACACACACACACACACACACAAATACCATTTACTGGTGGAAGTGGAGACTTAGAAAACAGACAATCCTAGACTTTTTAGGTTAAAATAATGGCAAATGTAGTATAAGTACAGATTTATTGATCCAAGACCACATAAAATTCTTGATATATTGTCTAATGAGGAAGTTACATACATGTATTTGACAGCTATAAACAAAATCCATCTAGTTTCATAGACATGGCTTTAATTTTTTTTAAATCAACACTTAACTGTATATATTTATGGGTTACAGTGTGGTATTTCAATACACAGTACAATGTGTAATGATACATCAGGGCAATTGGTGTATCCATCACCTAAAACATCATTTCTTTGTGTTGGGAACATTGAAAATCCTCTCTCAGCTATTTGAAAACATAAAGTTAATTGTCATCAACCACAGATCGCTACTGTGCTATAGACCATTAGAAGTTATTTCTCTTATCCAGCTCTACCTTTTACATAGATATCTTAATCTGCATTCAGAAATTTCAGATCCATGTATTTTACTGATGTTTCTGACTCACACCTTTTAACTGCTATATGATATTCCACACAGTCCCTTATTGATGCCCTTTAGTGTATTTTTAGTTTTTGCCACATAGTGCTGTCTTGTGTGTGAACAGCTGAATGGGCAGTGGTGGAACGACTTTGTAATTTCCAGGAAGGTTCTGAATTTCCAGAATCATTTCTCTACCCCCTACCCTCCCACCCCCTGTATCCTATAGAACCAGCATAAAGGAGTTTCCTGGGGAGGGATTTGGTGAGGAGTGAGACCCCGCCCCCAACACAAGGCCATGTGCATGGTAAGTACTACCCTCTCATCTCTAGACTATCCTGGCCCACTTACCTTGGTTTGGGGTAGCCCTAAAGCCCAGGCCCTAGGCTGTGGGGTGTCTGAGTGTAAGTTCTGGAAGGTGGAGTCCTGGTTTGCTGTGGCCTCTGATAGGCCCCTCCACCAGCTCTTGAAGCATAGGGAACACTGTCAACTTCATTCCGCTCCCTGAGACTCCACTTGGCAAGGGAGGCAGTGTGGCTAAGTGGCTAGTGCTGGTCTGTGGCATCAGAAAAGGCTGGTTTAAACTCCTAGTTCCACCCCTGAACAGTTCTAGGAACTTGGATAACTCATTCAACCTTAGTTTTCTCATCTATAAAGTAGAAATTCTGATCACTGGATAATTCAGATGGTGTGTGCCATAGTATCTAGCACAGAGCTGACGTTATGCTGATAGCAAGTTCGGGGGTGGCAGAATGAGGTGGGTAAAGGAATGGATTGGATTGTAAAGGGGCTGATACCCCTAGCACTGTTCCCAGCAGAAGGAAAGTAATCCGTCCTTCTATGACACTGTCCAGCACCAGACCCTGGGCATCCACCCCAC